CGGGTACCGTGCGCTGTAAGGCGGCAGCGGGCTCGGGGCGGGCAGCGCGGCCGGGCCGAGGGGCGCCCGGGCCGCCTGTGTTCTGCAGGAGCCCCTCTGTGCCAGCCCCGAGCTGGGCCAGGGGACAGCAAAGAGCACGTGCAGCCCTGGTGGCCCGCGTGCCCCCGCACGTGGGGACAGCGGTGCGCAGGGGCCAGCCCTGTGCCGCCTGTCACCTGTGTGGAGGTGACAGCCGGGATCAGATTCCAGCACAGCAGCCTCCAGGGAGGTCTCTCGCCAAGGCTTTCTCCTCGGCTCCTTCACGTGAGCGTGCACAAAGCTGCCCCCCTTCTGAAAACTCCTCCTCTGCGATACATACGCGGGGATAGCGCGAGGCTCTAACACGCTCTGCCGTTTCCCACTATCCAGGCTGATTTGCGAAGCGGCTGGGTCTCTTAAGTGCAAGGTAGATACAGGCTGATGATAAAGGCAGCTAATTGAAGAGCTATCTCCTGCAAACAGACCGGTCTAAACTAATTACACGATGTAGCGCATGCTGCCACCTACGTGTTGTGCTTCATGCACCGCGGCTCCGCATCCCTCGCCATCCGCGGCAGCCGCAGCGCGTTGCGAGACGCAGCTGCCCGCTGCAAGCGGCGGTGGCTGCGCTACGGAACGAGGCAGAACATTTCACACCGCTGCAGCCGCTTGCTCAGCAGATGCCCCCGCGCAGATGAGAAACCAGCAGTCACATCGGTGAAACGTAAGTAGCCGCTGGAGCCTCCTCTGGGCGCAGGATCCTGCCAGCACAGCTGTACCATTGACAGCAGTGGAATATTTTGCTCAAGTTCTCTAGAGGAATCAAAGCCTGTATTTTCTGTCTCTGGCTCTCTCTTGTTCTGTTGTTTCTCACCATTAAAAAAAAAAAAAAGGTCAGCCACAGAAAGCACATGGTTGCTCTTTGTGTTTGCAAAAAGCCCAAAGCTGTTTTGAAGTCGGAGGCGTGTAAACAGTACCTGCAACTAAGCAGGATAACAATAATAATAATTAGTCCTTTTGTGCCCTAAATACGTGCATCCCTGTCTGTTGTTTCGTTATGAGACAGCACAACTTCGGAGCGCGTGCGACTGATTGAGGAGGATCTGGGGAGTTCAGGGGTTTCTGCCGTTGGCCGCAGCAGCGTCAGGCAGCTGTAATCCCTGTGGCTTCCCCAGCTCAGTTATGTAACCACACTCAGAAGTTAGAGCCCAAATCACAAAGCATATGCATGCGTATAGCATTAAGTATACAAATGGTGCCTTAAATGACTATCTTTTCCTGTAGGTCTGGTTTTAATCTCCTATCAGTATTTTTAGTTCCGCAGCTCCATTGATTTCAGTGGATTCAGACCTTATGTGCACTGGTGAGACTAAGAGTAGAATCAAGCCCAGACTCCTAAAAAGTCAGTCGGGGTAACATTAACCAAAACTTAAATTAGATAGGCCAGAGTCATGCCGATTATAGGAAGGTAAAATTCCAACAACTTGTCTACCATGTCTAAAATTTATCTAGTATTAAGATGCAATATGAAACCAGAATATAATGTTCTGTGACTGCCTTGCATATCAGCTGCACCAGCAGGTTTTGGCACCCTGGTGCAAGGCAGTTTGGCATCCACCTTCCTCTGCATTTTGCCTCTTTCCTGGAGACTATTTTCCTCATTAACAAGCTGACCTGTTTTATGGAAAGGTGCTGGGTGCGGATACAGTGTGCACCTTTTGGATCTCTTTAATCCAATAACTCTTTTCTAATCTCCACGTCTAGGTCACAGGGTTTAAAATGGACACTGGGCCAAATCCCAGGCTTGGCTACAGCATGTGTAAATCTACTAGGAAGACACTGGAGGCAAATGAGATTCTCTGCATTTGCACCCTGCAAAAGAGGTCTCAAAGGGCAGTGATGTGAATGCCTAATTTTGCAGATGGGTGCAGATTAGCACAAATATATGGCACTTAGGTCAGACTTCTACTGGGAGAAGTAGCTGGTTGGGAGTATTATGAGCAAATTCTCATTTGCTTTATATTGAAATGAATTTAATATTTCCATTTTTTTTTTCCTTCAGGAGAAGAACTTGTTTCCTTTCAATGTTTGGCTGCCAAAGAGAACATGTTTACCAGACTCAGGAGCAAGGCACAACAAGAACAGGGAGTAGATCATGTAGGAGCCGAGAAGATTTTACATACAAACATTAAAATAAAAAAGCAAAATGTACCCAAGCGCCAAGTACAGCACTCTACATGTAAAGAAAAGTGTGTAAGCAAGGATGGCAAAAGGAACCTCATATGGGGGAACAGGCTCATCACATGAATGATTCCCTGAATGCAAACTTTGCACACAATCCCACATTGGGGCAGCCTTAGGGGTTCCCCCACGTGGCAAAGGGCCCTGAACTCAAAAAAGGGTGCCAGTTTTTGTGAGGGATTTGCACATCAGGCACCACAGCTTTTAAGCACTGCTAAACCAGGGAATAGAACTGCTGCTATTGCTATTACAGACCAGGATATTTCACTAATCCATGCAATCCACTAAGTTGCTGTAGTTTTAGTCTGCATTTATTTTCAATGAAATTATGGCCTGGACAGTTAATTTTTTCCTAGTTACCCAATCAAATCCTATACAAATAAAAATCAAACAAAATTCAAAGCGTGACCTGTGGTTTTCGAACGCTCCCCCCACCATGTGAACCTGCAGCCGCTGCACTAGTGCACCAGTTGAGCAAACAAATAAACAAAAACAACGGAAAGCTCCAGCTCTTCTTAAAAGTTAGTCCTGCTGGCTTTAAATTACATTAACAATGTAATTTTAGCACTAGTAGTGGCCTGTTTTGCTTGCATGTGAAATGGCCTAGCCATTACGGGATTGCCCCCACTGGTGCTTTGTGTATGTCGAGTAAATGACATATTAACTTTCCAAAGACCAGGCCAGGTTAGAAATTTCTCTTCTTTTCCATGGGCTGATTCCTAAAGTGAGGGGCAAACCTGGAACCAAATAGCCTGGAACCAAAGTGGTCACACTGGCTTTTGGCAGGAGCCAAGGAGCTCGAGTTAAATGGCAGGCAGCTACCTGGAAATAAAAGACTCTCCTGTTTCCACATGTTTACATTGCGATTTTCAAGAGCTCCTGAGCAATTTAAAGTCCATGAAAGGAATGCACTATAGAATGAAAAATACAGGTATTATTAAAGAATGTCTCCAAACTGAAAGCTAGCCAGGTTCATAAAAACGAGTTAAAAAACAATAACAGGTACTCGTCTCCTGCTGCATGCTGTATGAACCATATGTTTTACATTTTTAAGTCATTTTTAAAATAAAGTTTTTGCTGTTGTTATTGTGAGAAAAGAACAGTAAAACAATGCATAAAATGAGGCTAAGGTAATCTAATTAAAAAAATAAACAATGTGTTTTCATCTTTAATTCATATCCCGTCACTTGGGGGTCTAACTAGTGAAAAAAGAGAGATAAAAAATCAGAAAAGATCTGAAGGATGCCTATTTCCCTTTAAGATTAATGATAAACATACTTGTGTAGTCGAGGGAGAATGGATTCACTGTTACGTAACTGGATAAAGAAACAAAATCCTTTTTCCTTAAATTAAAATGACCACGATGTATGTGGATTTTAGTCAAGCAATGAAAAATCAAGAATCCTGTTTTCTTTCACAGTGGCATTCTAGATGCTAAAAATCGAGCTCCTCTTAAGTTCTAAATAGAATCACAATAATTAAAGATGAAAAAGATCTGTCTGTTCTTGACAAGCCTTTTGCCTACACAGGATTGTTCCCTGGAAAAAAGTTTAGAGCACTCGTTCTGTGCAAAGATCCAAATTTGTAATCGTGGTTTTATTTTTTGTGGCATTAGTAAATGCAATTTTTGGACCTCTCCAGGAAAATTCTTGCCTAGTACTAGAGGTACTGTAACTTACCTCCTCTAATAATTTTTCACCTGAACTATCTCCTAAATAACAGCACTTACTGAATCTTGCAGTGTCTCTCTACACAGTCTGTCTGCCTAAACTTAGAAAAAAATCAACAAAATCAACAGGTGTGTATATATATATATATACAAAAAACATATATATTGTAGTGGTGTCGCTGTTCTTTGCTGGCTCAGTCCTATAAAATTTGAAAAAACCACACACGCACACACACACAAAAAAACAATTTTCTACCACATCACCTGCTTTTTCCACTTCTGTATTTTGCCACGGCACTCATATCAGAAGTTCTGCATCAGAATTTGATATATAAAGTTCCTCTTTATCACATGAATTCAGTTTTCCAAGAGAAGCCAAAGAATGCTATTAATAACGAAGATGCCAGCCCTGAAAAGGCTAAGTCTCCGAATGTACATGCTGCAAAAAATGTCGTCTTGTTGGATCTAATTCTGGAGTCATCATTTTGCACAAAGAGGAGCAGCTAGGC